CACTGTTCTGCACTGAAAAGCTCCCTGAGATGATTTACTGACAATGAATGAGAAAGTTACATGAAAATCTTTGATTATTTAGAAATTAGAATGCTCATGTATGTTAGTCAAGATGCTTAAAAAGTGCAATTTTTCTGTCTTTTTAGACCATGATATGAGAACACTAAGATTACAAGTAGTGAATGGATACAGTTTTTCAATACATATTGTAAGCTTTTTATGCTCCTAGACATGCTGATTAATTCTCTAATGATAATAAAGGATGCAAACAAAAAGTTTAGTTTACGGAATGAAAATAAAGATGTCCACCTGTACACTTTACTTTGTATTTCGGCTTAATTAAAAAAGTGGACCCCCGTCCCTTTATAGAATGTTGTTTTAGATTTATGCATGTGACGTTTTGAACATTGTGAATTACGTGCAATTTCATTCATTCTATTTGGACTATGACTTCAAAATACTAAGATTGCAAAGAATGAAAAAGGCATTTTTTTTATTTTAATGCATACTGCAACTATTTTCTTTCTTATTTTGTGTATTATAAAACATGTTTGTTAAGGCACCTATTATCCACCAAAGAGGCCATGCTTTCGAGTGCTGATGTACAAGTCAAGGAGCTGAAGAAATCCAGTAATGCTTTGAAGGTGCTTTAAATGGATAGCGTGAAAAATTGGAGAGGGACGTAGTGCAATCAAAGCAGGAGCTGATAGAGAGAACGACAAAATTGAGACAAGATGGGAAGCAAATTAGAAGGGTGATTTGCTCTGCTTACAAGATTGAAAGACAAGCTGCAGATCTGAAAGATGTTCAAAGAGCGCCATGTAGACACACTTCTTTCTTTAGATCACAGGTTTTGAAACTTGCTACGGAGGTAACGAAAGAAAGAAATTTTCTTGCAATGGAGATTATAAAAAATAAGCAACGATGACATCTCAGTCTGATTCCATAACTTCTACCCATATTCTTCCTACTGTGATCAATTGTGGGAAACGGGTGTGGAAAATTGTGAAACAAATAAAAACAAAGTTTGTAGGAATTATAAATGTTTTATATTCTCTTGATGGGTATTCATTCGACTAGAAAACACGTTTTGCTGATGCACTTCAGCCTGTGAGGCCTTTTTCCCTCCAGCTTGGATTGAATGAGATGGTCTGTCATACCAATTGTGAAAATTCGATAGGGAAGTGGTTTTAGGAAAATAAATAGTTTCGTGATCAGTGTTCTTGCTATTAGTTGTTTTTATGGAAGCTTTGGCCTTTTAGTTTGGTAAAAAAACAATGTCAAAATCTATACCTATATACTAATTAACTCAATTAAGTATCCCGCCTAAACTATAAGGTATTTGCGTAACTTTGTGTATTCGGATATTCTTTGGCGCTTATGTGACTATGTCGGCCTCTGCTACTCTCTTTGAAAGTTGAAACCCCATCTTTCTTTATTGTTTCCAATTTTTTGTGAAAGCCTTGGCCATTGCCAAGGTATTCGTAGACAAAAATTTTTGTACTCCCCAAGTCCACTAGATGCCTTGATGGTAATGGCCGCATGACTAAGTATAGAGTTATAATGCATATCTATGATTGGGCTTGAGCCGGTCATATCATGTAGTGAGAGATAGATCAGATCGTGTGGCTCAACTTCGCCTATGTCGTTATCAGATTTTAGAAGTTCAACAATATTGGTCGCATACATTAGAAGTTCAATACATTCGAACGCAAAAGGCTCTTTTTAATAGAGTTCTTTTGTGAGGAAGCGGTCCAACCCAACTGGTCGCCGACTCACTCTCACTTATGAGAGACCTCGAGTTCAAAAACTCAATGGAGTGAGTTTCGGCCGTGATTACTCCAGGCCCTCCAGCCTCCCCCAGACTCCCCTGAAGTAAAAAAAAAAGAGTTATTTTGTAAAACTTTGGTTTAGAACCAAGTAGGGTAGTGATGTCATGCTTTTCGTTTTAAAAGCTCAAAGAACGGTATGATTGCTCTTTCTTAATTGAATTACTTTCATACCATCTTATTAAAGTCTTAAAGATATTTTATTGAAGATGATGTTGTTTTAATGAAGTTATTTTATTTGGATACACGAGTGTAAGAAGAATTATCATAGCTTTGAGGAGAATCTTGAGTGCTTGCTTCATTGATAGTCTTTTTACTAGAAAGAAAAAATAACATTATTAGTCAAATAGGGCTGAGTTATTTGACAACAGGCCTACAACTGGAGCATGCAGTCTTGAGATATATATGGGATGTTGAAAAGATTAAATAGAAATGTGTATCGAGGCCATGTAATGATCAAAGAGAACAAACTTTATGCACATTCATAGTCCTTGGAACAATTGGATGACTTCATAGGCACATTGTTGGTCTATTATCCCGTGCAACGCACGGGTAAAAGACTAGTATATATATATATATATATATATAAATATATATATATATAGAAAATCTTTCCGGTAAGGTATACCTTACCGGAGCCGCCGTGCGGCCTCCACGTTTTAAGGGCCTTCCCGGTGGAATTTTTAGATGAAATTTTTTGAGCATGTTCTTCATCAAGTCTAGTACATCCATACCAAATTTCAGCAAACAATTCAATCGGGAAGGCAGCCAAACGATTTTTGGAAGATAACTGCGTTTTATATGTATATAAAGGGTGCAATTATCTTTCAAAAATCATTTGACTGCCTTCCTGATTGAATTTTTTGCTGAAATTTGGTATGGATGTAGTAGACTTGATGAAGAACATGCTCAAAACATTTCATCAAAAAAATCGATCGGGAAGTGCCCGAAATGCCCTCGGCCGGACGGCGGTTCCCGTCAGGCCGACTGGAAAAGAACGGGACTCTCTCTCTCTCTCTCTCTCTCTCTCTCTCTCTCTCTCTCTCTCCGTCCAGAGAGGAATGATCCTGTCCATAGTAGTACTCCGGCCCATTGAAGAGGAACATTCCATAAAAATTTTCATCAAAAAACTCCACCGAGAACCTGCCCTGTGAATAGCCTAGAGATCTCGTTGCCGCTCATTGACCCCGGCCCTTTCCAGAATTCCAGCGCCGCATCACTGACACCAACCATCAACGCCACTTTTAGAGCCAAAACATCGCTCGTCGTCGAACAGTATCGCCTATGGCGGCACTCATTAAGGCCGCCGCCACTGTCAAACAAACCTTAGGCATATCCGTACTTCATCGCCGTAATCAAAGGTGGATCTGCAGTCGTTGACCATCGCCATCATCAGCAATTTCGTCATCGTCTGGTGCAAGGCCGCCATCGCCGGTGTCCAGTACAAGGTCGTGGTCGTCGCCCGCTACAAATCAATTGTCCCTAATCAGTCGTTGTCACCCTTAGCCAGACCGTCGTCTTCCTCAGCCAGACAATCGTCATCTTCAGGTAGGCCGTCATCTTCCTTCAGCCAGGCCGCCTCCGCCTTAAAAAAAACCCTAGTGGAAAAGGTAAAGTGATATAACAAAGAGATGGGCAATTCGACGGGGCGAGTAAGGAAGGGGTGTTTTTGTCTTATTTTTGTCTTTCTAAAACCCCGTAGTATTATTTATGTCATTTTTTCTAATTTCATTTTATTTTTTGTGTATATTTTATTTTCTTCCGATTCAAGGCATCTGGATCAATAATACTTCCACAGTATGATATCATGGATAGCATTGAAGCACAATGAGTACTTATATGCCTTATTATTAATCGCCCATATTCACTACAAAAAATCACGGGATTGCACGGATTTGGCACGGATTTACGATGATTTCGTGCCAAACAGCTCGTGTCAAACTTTTTTTGACACATCCTTGCCAAAATCCCTGCCAATTTTGAGAAATGTCTGCCAAAAAAATTTGTTAATCCCGTATTCTTTTTATAGTGATTATTATGTATTGCGTATATTTCATAATGCCGCTCTAGCTTAGTAGCTTTAGTGGCCACTGTTGGTATTAGTGACCCCCAACACCCTAGTGACTGCACCAGTTACCTGATACCCAGTAACAGTTATGAAGAAGAGGAGTAACTAACCTGGTCGATGGGGATGGTCACTAGCAACATGACAATTCAATGACGGTGGCGATGGGCTGGCGATGATGGCAACAGCTTGGGTGGAAGGTGGCAAAAGACGGAAGGTGAGGAATTAATTTGGCACAGTTATCTTCAACAAATTTTTTGACTGCCAACCCGATCGAATTTTTAGCTGAATTTTTTTGTGGATAAACTAGACTTGAAGAGGAACATTCCATAAAAATTTTCATCAAAAAACTCCACCGATGAAGTACGGATATGCCTAAGGTTTGTTTGACAGTGGCGGCGGCCTTAATGAGTGCCGCCATAGGCGATACTGTTCGACGACGAGCGATGTTTTGGCTCTAAAAGTGGCGTTGATGGTTGGTGTCAGTGATGCGGCGCTGGAATTCTGGAAAGGGCCGGGGTCAATGAGCGGCAACGAGATCTCTAGGCTATTCACAGGGCAGGTCAGTAGGTGTGTGATGTGGGGGTAACTAGGGGCTGCTCGGACAGTGACCGGGTACATTGGTGGGGCAGGAAATGCTTGGCTGATCGGAAATGGCCATGGAGGAGTCGGTGTTTCTGGGGTAGGGGAAATGTGGATGCGGATGGCAGGGTCACTGGAAGTGATATGTCACTTTAATAATTGTCGACAGTGGTCACTGTAATTGTCGTCCCTGAAGTCACTGTGACCGGTAGCGGAGGTCACCTTGTCCGGCTACGGCTCACTGGCGTCTTGCAACAGGTCACTGGATCGGTGGTCAGGTCAGGAGTTGTGTGGTGGAAGGTTGTTGGGGCAGGGCATGAGGTCACTATCGTTGTGCGCAGGTCACTGTAACTTCCGGTGACAAAGTGAGTGTAAAGCTTTAAATGTAGTTTCTGAATATGTATTTTTGCGACTTTGTAAAGCTTTAAATGTAGTTTCTGAATATGTATTTTTGCGGCTTTGTAAAGCTTTAAATGTAGTTTTTGAATATGTATTTTTTTTTTCCTAAAAAAAATTTGAGTGTGCGGACATGGAATTAAATTGACAAAGTATGGGAGAGGAGAGGGTTGATTTATTATTTGCTTAATTCAGAAATAAATAAGTACTGCGTACATGCCAGTGGAGTTGGAATTACTTCAATTAGAAGCACCCTGGCTTGGCCTAGCCGGCTTGCAACATACAAAGTACGGAGTATATAAAAGTGGACATGACTGATGATGGATGGCCGGATAAAATGGGCGAGCGGCGGGCTTGATGAATATATAAGCCGGCAGCTAATTAAGGAACTATAAGTAACTAGCTAACTACCGATGGGTGAAGACAACCTTGAGATCATCCTTCATTTCAAGAAGAACGGATTCGGAAATCTCAATTGGACAATCATGAGCCAGGAGCTCATAGCGATAGCGGTAGAGTATGGCAGCTGCAACCATTTTGACGACAGTGAAAGCCATGTCTCTCCCAATGCAACTCCTGGGGCCGGCGTTAAAGGCCGGGAACTTGTAGGATGGTTGATGCTGGATTCCACCGGTGGCGGGTGAAATCCACCTCTCGGGGTTGAACTCCATGCAGTCTTCTCCCCACACATATGCCATCCTCCCTGTGGAATAGAAGGGCATTATGATTTTGGTGTGGGGTTTCACAGTGTGCCCGCTGGGGAGAACATCTCTCTCTGTAGGCATCTTGTGATTCAAAGGTACGGAAGGAAACAACCTAAGGGATTCACACACGGCCGCGTGGAGGTAGGTTAATTTTTGACATTCTTCCACATTGAATATAATCATATTAATATCTTCTTCCTCATCCCTCTCCTTCTGCTTGTTTATATTTCGATGGCGACGAATCTCGTCCAAGATCTTTGCTTCAACCGATGGGTTCTTGGCAAGCAGCCAAAACAACCAAGTTAGTGTTGAGCCTGCAGTGAATCAATTCAATAAAAAATCTTGTTAGAAATAAATAAATAACATGCTATACAGTACAATACTCCTTCCGTTTCATTTTACTTGTTTTATTTTCCTAAAATACTCCTAAAATAAGTGTCACATTTCATTGTTTAGAATGAAATATATGTCCTTCTATAACATTTCACTTTATTATACTGGAAACTCAACCACAACTTTTACTTTTTCAAATACTTTATTAATAATTATGTCAAACAAAGTAGCACACCTAATTAAGCGTGAATGAGTCATATTATATATAGGGGAAAAAATAAAAGTAGTTAGGGGTGGACACGGTCCCGTACGACCGTACAGTCCATCATTTTGCTGAATCCGTACCCGCACCGTACTATTGAAATGGTCCGATTCGGTTCGGTCTTAGATCTAAACCCGTTCGGTACAATTTCATTTTCAAATAGGACGGTGGTAGACTGGTATAGTATTTTTACATAATAATTTGATTATATGTACTATTGAAATGGTCCGATTTGGTTCGGTCTTAGATCTAAACCCATTCGGTACAATTTCATTTTCAAACAGGACGGTGATAGTAGTATTTTTACATTATTATATAATTATATATATATATATATATATTTGTAGAAAATTATAGTCAAAGTATATGTCGTATATACTTCGTATATATATATATATAAGATGTACTCATGTACGTGTGGGTATTGTAAAATTCAAAGAGTTGAAACTATATAAAATGGAGAAGTACGCAGTACTACGTATGTACTAATGCGCTTCCTACATTTTTGCATTTAAAATGATCTTAGCTTGATCAACGTACTCAATCTTATTTCTCAATAGATAATTCATTCTAAACTTAATTATTGAAGAGTTTGTTGTAAAGTGAGTACGTCGTACCCGTGGTATCTGAGCCAGCAATAATCAAGGTGAGGGCGTTGTCTCTTAGAAATTTGGAACCCATTCCTTGGAAGGCATTCATGTGCGACCGCAACATGCTGAACTCATTAATGGACCCGCCGTCCTCGTTTTGCATCGTGTCGGAAATGATTGGGTTTATGTAATCGTCAAAAGTCCGCCATGCTTGCCCCAGCTTCTCCTCTCTGTCAACCCCCACCACCCATTTCTGCAGCTTCCAACACCACTCCGGGAGAAAATGCCTGTACAGAACTGCGTTGACCGCATCCCGCAGCGCCGCCAGAAAGGGGTGGTCGTCCCCGCCGACGACGCCGAGGCTGCACGGGTCCTTGTCCAGAAACTGGGCGCAGGCGATGTCGAAGGCCATCCGCCTGAAGACTTGCTTCAACCCGAAAGCGTCCCGCTTCTGCGCGTGATGCTCCAGAAGCGGGAACAGCTCGTGTCGGATCTTATCCGACACCGTTTTCTCCAAGCGGGCGCGGTGGTCGGGATGGTTCATGAGGGGCATGGTGGTCTTCCGGTGAAGCTCCCATAGCTGGTGGTCGCTGTTCACCATCCCGTCCCCGAGAATCTCGAAGATTTTCTGGAAATGGGGACCCTTTGGGTAGTTGTTGAAGTTCTTGCAGAGGATGTGGTTGATGTTGGCGGGGTCGCAGGTCAGGAGCATGTTGAGGTTAGCGAAGCCCCACGGCCCTTTCAGCTCAAATGTGCCGCCGTTGAGCTGTAGAATCTCCGTCGCGTAGTCGTGGATGCGGCTAGCGTTTTGTAACAGCCCCGGCAGCATTCCGACGACCGGCCAGTTCGTCGGATTCACAATTTGCCCCGGCGCCGGGCCGCCCCTTTCCTGCGCCTGCAGCCTCTTCAAAATCATCTTCCACCCGACATAACCCAATGCCGCCGCCGTACTAATCATCATCACCGTCACAAATAAGCTTATTCCCCCACTCCCACCATCTTCTTCCATCCCCACACCCATTTTACTCATTTTCGTCCCTACCTGCGTACTTATTCAGTACCCATTTTTTACATACTGCTAGCTTGCATTGTCTATTTGCCTATATATAGTAAGGAGTACTTCTTGTCCGTATATAGCGACTACTACTTGTCTACTTTTGTCTAATTGATTTTAGTTTCTCATTTTAAAAGACACTATTATTTCGATAACAAATGAATAAGTAATTCGAGTATATTTTGAAAAATATGTTTGGAGGAACAAGTAATAAATGAATAAGTAATTCTTCATACTTGACCATTAATGATAATGATAACTTTGATGTTATACATGTACTATTTTGGTCCCATCTCCTTTGACTTTGACACAATTATTAATAAAGTGGTTGAAAAAGTAAAAGTTGTGATTTGAGATTTGAATATAATAAAGTGAAATGCGGTGGAGGCCCAATGAATTGTTACCAATGATTTTGTAATTTTGGACGGATGAGACGTGTGTGTGGGGGGGGAGAGAGAAAGAGAGGAACGATCCAGACCGGCCAGAGGGACATGACCCTCCATCCGGACGCCACCGTTTGGGGCGGTTCCCCGGTGGAATGTTTTGATGATTTTTTTTAGCATGTTCCTCATCAAGTCTAGTTTAAACACACAAAAACTCATTTAAAAATTCGATTGGGAAGGCGTTCAAATAAATTCTTGAAGATAACTGCACCAAAATATACATATAAGACGCAGTTATTTTCCAAAATTCATTTCATTGCATTCCAGATTAATTTTGTAGCTGCTTTTTGTGGATAAACTAGACTGGATGAAAAACATGCCCAAAATATTTCATCAAAAAAATCCACCAGGAAAGGGCCCAAACGCCGAGGTCTGGACGGCGGTTCCTGTCCGGACGTCCGGACAAAAACTTCTCTCTCTCTCTCTCTGTGTGTGCGTATATATATATATATATATATATATATATATATATATATATATATATATATATATATATATATATATATATATATATAGAGAGAGAGAGAGAGAGAGAGAGAGAGAGAGAGAGAGAGAAGAAATTCTCAGGTCCAACCGGAGGGACGAGAGCCGCCGTCCGAACTCCGCCGTTTGAGTGGTTCCCGGTGGAAGTTTTTGATGAAATTTTTTGAGCATGTTTCTCATCAAGTCTAGTTTATCCCCAAAAAATTTCAGCTCAAAATTCGATCAAAAGTCAGTCAAATAAGTTTTTAAAGTTGACTGTGTTTTCTATGTGTAACTTTGCGCAGTCAACTTCAAAAAATTATTTGACTGACTTCCCGATCAATTTTTTAGTCGAAAATTTTTGTGGATAAACTAGACTTGATGTGGAACATGCTCAAAAAAATTCATTAAAGAATTCCACCGGAAACCGCCCCAATGGCGGAGTTCGAACGACGGCTCCCGTCCCTCCGGCTGGACCTGAGCATTTCTCTCTCTCTATATGTGTGTGTGTGAATGATCATGTGCAGTCAAATGGATTATGGATATGACCTTCCAGGTTGAATTTTTAGCTGAAATTTGGTGGGTATAACTAGACTTGATGAAGAACATTCTCAAACAAATTCATCAAAAAATTGGATAAGTATTCTAGACTACCTCGACCGGACGACGATTACAGTTAGACCGGCTACATGAATTATCCTCCAAATAAAAGCAAGCTATCTTGCGGACCGGACCGTATATAGCTTCGCTATTGGACCTAGTGGACGTGTTTTAATTTAATTTTAACCTACCTTCTGAAAATATTGATTGCAAATTGTTTGCTAGCTCCATGTGTATATATACCACGTATAAATCTATAATGTACAAGAAGTAATGGCAAGTTTATAATACCGTGTGTAGGACCCTCTAACTATAACGGAGCTGCACACACTTTTTGAAAGACATGGAGCTCCACAGTCCACACAATTGAACCCGATTATACATAAAAGTATGGGTGCATGCTATAGATCATACTCCGTACAAAATGCTACTGCCTCCGTCCACACGTTATTGTCTCATTGCGGTTTACGCCTAAGATAAAGCAAATGGATCCATATCCGCATTCAAACTATTTTTAGAAAAAAAAGTTACATATTTAGAAACTACATTAAAAGCTTTACAAAGTGGCAAAAATCAGAATCAAATTTGATAAAATTTGATACATAAATTAAGAGATTAAGAGTGATTTGTGTTAACCAAGTGAATAGGAAATGAGACAATAACAGGGAGGCGGAGGGAGTATGTTGTAAAATGCTATGGACCGGTGATCGACCCGACCGAGTGACTGGGTCACGGGTCAACCCAGACCCGGCGGGTCAACCCGGTCATTGCCGGGAAAACCCTGTCAACATTTCAAATTTTTTTTAGTATTTCACATATATTATTATAAAATTCAAAAAGTTATTTAGTCTTCAAAATAATTAAATAATGTAAGTAGTTACTAAACATTGAAAAATACACATACGGAGTAATATTTTTGATATTTGATAGTGTTATTTGATATTTATTTTGTAATTTTGTAAAATTTTTGAAATGATTTTATTTCTAGAATAAACATTCAAATATATTACATACATTTTTCTAAAAATAAATATGAATAAATCTACACTTCTTACAAAATCTACACTTTTTTTAGAAATAGCATATGACTATGTTTCACTTATAGCAATAACAGGAGTTGGTATCCTTAGTGGGTGTTGAATAATTGTTTTAAAAAAACTTGCTAGTTAATATATAGCTATATATATAACGGAACAGAAGTAATCACAATTGTACCCACCTTATACCCACCATGTTTGTGAAGTGTTTTTTTTGTCTGTGAACCCGATTCACAAACAATATTTTGTTTGTGCAAAATATTGTCTATGAACCGGGGTTCACAAAAAAAACACTTCACAAACATAAGTGGATACAAAAGTGGGTACAAACATCATTTTTAATGTTAAATCGCAACTTGGTTTCATAGTTCGCTTGGAGTATAGTACGCAGTGGCAGACAGCAGACCAGGGATCAATTCTGAGTTACAGATTTGTTTGAAGTCGTCTAACTTCCGGGTTTTTTTGGGTTTACCGGTTATTTCCGGGTCTGACACGGGTTTTAACGGGTTCTCGGGTATTTCCGGGTTCTAGGTGTTTTATGGGTTGGGGAGTAACCGGTGGGCGGGTTCCGGGTCGGGCCGGGCGGGCCGGGTCGGGTCTTTGTTGAACATAGACAAAATGTTGAGATATATTTTATGTTTAGATGATTTGATAGTACTACCTCCCTACCACTAACATTGAAATATGATGAGGTGACACAACTATTAAAAAAATTGAATTTATATTGTTAATATTGGATTTACTCAAATTAATACGGAGTATGTGACAATCTTGATGGGACGGGCTGAAAAGAAAAGATGAGACGATCTTAGCATGACGGAGGAAGTAATATATTTTGAAAATGGACTAATTTAGAGTTTAGCATGGCATGAAATGAACATGAAGCAAACGTGGTCTACCTCTTGATATATATATATATATATATATATATATATATATATATATATATATATATATATATATATATATATATATATATATATATATATATATATATATATATATATACCCTCCCGGTGAAATTTTTCGATGAAATTTTTTGAGCATGTTCTTCATCAAGTCTAGTACATCCATACCAAATTGCAGCAAAAAATTCAGTCGGGAAAGCAGACAAACGATTTTTGGAAGATAACTGCGTTTTATATGTGTATAAAGGGTGCAGTTATCTTCCAAAACTCATTTGACTGTCTTCCCAATTGAATTATTTGCTGAAACTTGGTATGAATGTATTAGACTTGATGAAGAACACGCTAAAAAAATTTCATCGAAAAATTCCACCGGGAAGGCCCTCAAAACGTGGAGGCCGCACGGAGGCTCCGGTAAGGTATACCTTACCGGAAGAGTTCCCTATATATATATATATATATATACACAAATGATCCTGTCCGGACGTCCGGACAGGAACCGCCGTCCGGCCGGCGGCGTTTGGCCGCCTTCCCGGTGGAATTTTTTGATGAAATTTTTATGGCATGTTCTCCATCAAGTCTAGTTTATCCACAAAAAAATTCAGCCAAAAACTCAATCGGGAAGGTCATCAAATGATTTTTGCAAGTTAACTGGTCCGGAATATGTATTTTCCGGACCAGTTAACTTGCAAAAATCATTTGACGACCTTCCCGATTGAGTTTTTGACTGAATTTTTTTGTGGATAAACTAGACTTGATGGAGAACATGCCATAAAAATTTCATCAAAAAATTCCACCGGGAAGGCGGCCAAACGCCGCCGGCCGGACGGCGGTTCCTGTCCGGACGTCTGGACAGGATCAGGACTCTATATATATATATATATATATATATATATATATATATATATATATATATATATATATATATATATATATATATATATATATATGGATGGATGGATGGATTAGATGGACTTTAATCACAAGATACGGACTCAAATAATGTGCAAACGTTTATAGTACAAAGTGAATATTAAATGAATAAAAGTGCACTCCTAAGAGTTAAAAAAGGTTGCCAATTTTTATTAAACTTGTGCGCATTTTATGATGTACTGTTATGCACTTTTGTACTCTACATGTACACTTTTTGCATATTCTGGTACACTTTTCATATAATATTTTTATTAAAAGTTCTTTATAATTACAAAAACGCCACCGCATTTTTCACTTAAAGTTTGATCTCTTCCATCCATTTTTTCACATCAATGGCCAAGATTAGTTCTTATTTTTCACCTAGGAAGCACTTTTTATTTGATCCATATTATATATATATATATATATATATATATATATATATATAGGGTAAGGTTCAAGTGAGAAGAACCCTTTAGGTGAGAAGTGAGAATGAATCTCAGCCGTTGGATTCGACTATATTGCAGTAAAAACACTTTATATTGCACTAAAATATGCAACCCGTTTTGGTGAAATTTTCTGAAAAATCCGTATTACAGCCATCTAGTGCAACATGAAGCTGTTTTGGTGCAACGTCGTCAAATTTTAGTGCAATATGAAACAGTTTTAGTGTAACACTGTAAAAAATTAAATCTTACTGCAACATCAAGCTATTTT